AAAAAATGCTCTTGTTTGTTGTTATGGTAGCCAGGTGTCCCAGTACTTTGACCTAGCACCCCCAAAACTGGAAGAATACTTTCATTAAAAATAAAGATGCTAAGGGAGTACTGGGGGTTAGCTATGGGGTGGGGTGGGGGGTGTCAACCAACACGGTAACACCCTTAGCCTTTTCTGTTTAATCAACACTTCTCAAGTACAGTATGCAATAATAGAATTGTAAAAGAATATGTTATGGATTTCTAAGTATGTGACAAAGACATTCCTGAAACTTTAAAGAACGTTAATGTACAAAAACTTTAAAGAGCTTTGTTGTTCAAAAACACAAGAGTTCAAGAGCTTTTGTTTGTCTTGATAACGTCAGTCAGCTGTTGCAACATTTGCAGCATAAGCTGTTGTTGCTGCTGTTGCTGTTGCTGTGTTTGCCTTAACTCGGCCTCTCTGAGCTGAAGCTCTCTCTCACGAAGCGCCTGCTCAGCCTTTAATTGCTGTGACCTTATCTGGAGGCTTTCTTGCAAAAATTGCATTGTATCTGCGCCTCGTCTGCGTGGAGGCTGTGATTCTTCATCACCCCCTGTGCTCTTCCTTTTCTTGGTTTCTGCAACAGTTTCCATTAGTAGTCATATAGGCTATACTAGGTCCTGACCAATCACAGCGCAGCAAAATTTGAGGGAACCAATCAGAATCGAGCATTTAGCCCATGTGACCAAATTGACGTCACAAGCTCCCAAATATGATCATGTTGTTCACGTGACCCCATGGGGAAAAGAACACCACACACAAGAGGTTGATCCACATACTTCGCATAGTTTTAATGACCGCGTAGAACCTGGTGACAAGTGGGACGCATGCGCAGTTCAGTCCCAGACGTTTATCCTGCGCAGTCACGTGATTGGGATCGTAGGCACATGCGCAAACCGCCAAACGACTCCCCAGGTCCCCCGCATTCATAGGAGCACATTTCCACCTAGACCTACGGCGCATGCGCAAACACTCAAACGAAGCCCCAGTCCCCTCGCATCACCAGAAGTCAATAAAAACACACTGTATGGTGGTCAACATCATTTAATACAAAAACAAGTCTCGAGAATGCCCTGTCACGTGTGTGACGCCCGAATGACGTCACGCCCATTGTTTTTTACATCAATACACATTACGAAGAAAGGGTATTTGCTTCCTGGCTGAAGGAGTCATGAGCAATGGATTAGGCCATGGAATGTAGTGTTTGAATCCTATCAATGACCACGGTTTGAGTAAATGAAAACGTAAATTGGAATGGGTGGCTGAAACGAATCAGAAGGAGGGTGGTTAGAGCCAAGAAGCAAACTGAATGAGAAACACTCGACCATTGGTACGCACGAGGCGGTGGTTTACTGTCCAATGATTGACTAGAAGACAAAAAAGACTTAATTACAAAGTGGGACGTGTGTGACGCCCTCGTGGTGTCACGCCCTGGAAAGATTGTACACAAAACAATTCTATTAACATCCAGTCTTGGTTAAAGTCGAAATGCTCTAAGATCCAATGCGTTTCCGGGAAAAAGGTTTGAACAAATAGAGTAAGCTGGACCATCCTTGATGATTGACGATACAAAGTTTATGAGGGATGGGCCAGCTTCGGAAAATCATCACACGATCAATAATCCAATGGGAATCTAATTAAATTAAAAAAATTATGAACATCCAGCAGGGGTGGCGCCACCATGCAGACCTCCCCCTGCCGGGTGTTCAGAATTCCCAATCCATGCTCTCCATCATCGCACAGCCTCGACAGGGTTCATGGAGGTTGGTCACGTGCCGTAAATATATCCAACAACGTTTACACACAAAATATAATTGTCCCGTCAGATTTTGGAGGGACCTCGAATGTTGGTCCATCACCTGGGCAATGGCTGAAAAAGGAAAGGGAGATAAATGGCTCGTAGGACAAAACGAGAATCTGAAAAAAATAAAAAAAATAAAAAAAACATGTTTTTAAGGACGGGGTGGGTACCCCATGCCTTGCAACATCTCGCACCAATAACAGGGCACGTGTAAGTCACTGGCAAAACGAAAGTTCAAATAACAACGACAACAGAGTAATTTAATGGGTCTCGGAAATGGAAGGGCGACCCCTGATCCAGTGTACCACTGCACGATACTACCGAGGAAACACCATGCAGCGGAGGTACCATGAACCCTGTGGGTACTGAGAATGGTATGCGAATCTACAAAGAAATTAATAATAATGCTGTAAGCTCATGAGTAAGTAATTGATATCGTCTCGGAGCCGGTGGTTGTTCTTGAGGAACAAATGCGTGCCTAAAAAGCAGTGTGATTGCAGAATTGAATGAGATGTGGAACACTATGAATATGGTATCGATGTTGCAAGGCAAGGATCCACCCCCATTGGTCAATAGTAGAAGTCACATCTGAAACGTTTCATGAAGACTGATTACACAACGAACAGTACTATAATGACATCGCAATTGCACGGTCCTAATCCATCCTCCATAGTGTTTTAACGTATAATGAAAGCCTACAAAGAGGTGGAAAGTCGAATCAAAATGGGAATACTGGTACGAAAGAAACCGGATTGCAAAGGGCGGATCCATTGCGTGTGATGACGTAACAAGCAATGCGTGGCTGTAAAAAAAAAATTGAACTAAAATCAATCCTCTAAAAACCCTAACAGGGCTAAATCCGGGTCACCCACGGGACCTTGGGCCCGGAGAAACGAATTAATTCTAAAGGTCATGCGCAACGGCCAATCGCCCCAGTCCCGATGGTTGGGGTCCCCACTCTGCACATACTCCACGATGTCATCTTCGGTGAGGGACCCCTCCCGGTTGCCAGCAATGACATCATCTAACCGCAATCCCTCCATCATCCGTTCGCAGTGGTTACAGACTCCGCCAGGGGTGGGATGAGCGACCCACTGATAAATGTGGCACACAGGTTGATTTTCCACAAACTCCCAAGATTCTATTAAAAAAAAAAAATCAACACGAACAGGTTGGGACCCAGAACCGCGCGGCCCAATTGAGTCGAGCTCGTCGAGGGCAAAGACACAGGTGAACAGGCCACAGCACTGTGCGTAGAAACTCAACCCCCTTGAACACGTCTATGAATAAAAAAAAAGTATAAGGAAAAGGGGACCCACACCCATAAAAAAAAAATGAAAGCCATAAGACTCACCAGCCATGCGACGGCGATGGACCTCATGATCCAGTTTCCGGGCGACAGGGTGGTCCCACGGCAGCGTTTTGGCCCAATCCCTCAGCTCCTCATGGGTGCAGCGTCTGAAAAAGGCGCGCAGACAGTCGCTTCTTAGAGGCGTGTGCCACAAAATCTTCAGTGCGTCAAACAACATCGCGATCGGCATAGAGTACAGCACCATCGATTGCAACGAACTCACCATCTTGACCAGATTAACTGAACAATGTGGAATGAACCCACCTCGAAGGCGCGCGGGGTTTTACAGACTCTTTCAGAGAACGTGATTGGTGGAGAGCCATCACGTGGGGTTTCTAGGAACGAGAGGAGACTCTAGGGGGTACCCCCCCATGGGTACACTTTTTTCATCCTGGACCAGGGGGTCTAGCGCGAGTGCGTGATTGGTGGACACCAGAGGATGAATAAGGGGAACACCACGTAGAGAGGTCAGTTGCCTGAGTTTTGCGCTGTCAAGATGGACTGCCGAGGGTTGGTCGATCCCAACAACAAACCGTTTGGCCGCGTGTTGCCCTTAGAAGTCCAAGTCAAGATTATGTTTTGGGTGCACTGTTTCTACACCATGGACCGGCGAAAGAAGGTGGTGCGCGAGTTGAAAGGGCTACCCAAATGCGACCTGACAGGTTTCCCACAACACCTGGGCGAGGACCGTTGGTGGAACCAAGTGGTGGTGCGGTTGCACGCCCCAAGAAAAAATGGCTGCCACCACTGCCACCGCCTCACGGATCACCGGTTATCGGTGAGTAAAAATGTGTTTTGAATCTTCTTCTTCTCATGACCTTGACTTTGAGAATTTTTTTTTCTGAGTTTCAGATTGGCATGATGGTGGAAATGGCGCGTCAACCCCCCAATCTCGACCGCCTGATGAACGAGGGCATTGCGTTTGTCATTGACACGTTCAAGCATCGGATCCCCAAGTGTCCCACTGGACAACGCCCCGTCATGATTGGCAGGAGGAAGGCCTCGTACGATAAGGTGGACAAAGTGATGAAACGCTTGGACTTGATCATGAATGTCATGTCAGCCATGCAATTTATTGTGATGGATATTTATTAAAAAACAAGTGATATGTTCTGAACAGTGTTTTCTGTTTAATGTTCATGTACGTTTAAATAAAGCCTCCAGGGTGGGATAAATGGCTTGGTCTTCTTCCCGCGTGCCTATAATGGCGGTCTTATCTTGGAGGGTGGGGAGAGCAATATAGTCCTCAGTCATGCCTTCGCATTGTTGATAGTCTTGGGAAGTGGGATTCCACCGAAGCCATTTTTCCCTATCCACATCAAAGACATAGAGGGGTTTGCCTAAAAGCTGAGCCATGACCACACCCCAGCCTGTCCCACCCAATAGATGCTTGCGCATCTCGTCGAAATGGCCTACCGCCAAGACTAAAGACGCTGGCTGGATCACGTGAACATTCCGCTGGATATACTGAAGGCTGATGGGATGATGCACTTGTCGACCCAATCGAAACGCTGCCTGGGTCACGGTGGGTGCGGCGGCGTCCAACTCGGACTGCGTCAAGGGCGCGAGGGACTTGGCTCGAGGGTGACAGGGTGGAATGAGGACCACACACGCATGACCATACAGATGACATAATCGTTCGACATGCGTGTCCACGCCTTTAGCGCCTCCCGTGTAAATGGTCAATGGCATGTTCTGTGAAAAATTAAAAACAAGGTTTATGGTGAGATAATGGAGTCCACGCCCACATGGTGTGCGGTTCATCGTCAGCGTACAGCATGGGGGTTTGCCATTCCCGACACGTGACCGTTTGTTCGAAAATGCGTCGGGCATGACGACAATTACTGCAATTATCGGGAATCCAATCCAGTCCTTGTCCTTGAGCGAACGCCTTGTCTTTGTCGTCCTTACAAGGGTTGCATAAGATCACATCCAACAGACGATCGCATCGTTTTTGCCACAAGACGCGTTGGGCATTGACTTGGTACAGGGTGGGTAAGACTCCTTGAGCGAACGCCTTGTCTTTGTCGTCCTTACAAGGGTTGCATAAGATCACATCCAACAGACGATCGCATCGTTTTTGCCACAAGACGCGTTGGGCATTGACTTGGTACAGGGTGGGTAAGACATGGGATTGGCGAGTAACCACCCACTCATTTGACAAGCCCGGACGTGCGCGCAATGATCATGCCAAACGCCACTCTCACGTGCCCCATGGCAATGGTCCATACACCAATTACGGCCCTGATCGTTCGTGGCCATCACATTGACGGTGGCAATGGGAAGAGAGGCCAAGTCCGGGCAGCCCTGCCCTTCCAAGACCACGAGGGAGTACGACCTCTCTTGGCACAAGCGATACAGACCATTCAGCGTGAACACCCCAAGTCGATTCCGTTGGGGGGTAAGGTACTGGTGACACCAGCGGGTGAGATCGTCCTGGATCTGATGGTAGGGATGATAGTCGTGGCGAGTGTAAGCCGTGTACGGTTCAAAAGGCAACCCATGCACTGTCTCGGTCTGACGATCGACACGCGTCTTGGCCTTCTCGGATAATTGATGATACGACACGCCCTGCGGTAACAGGTATTTGAACAACACATGATGATGCCCTGTCCAATCACACAAGGCCAGTTCTCGAATAATATACTCGTCTCGGGAAATGGCAAACCCCTGACTGAACACCAAGAGACCCACTTGGTTCAACGCCATGTTCGCTTACCGTCAAGAAGAGAGGACCGCGACGACTGAAAACGGTCGTCGAACCACCCCTGATTTTTATAACAGAAAGCGTGGGCTCTGATTGGTGGGCCCTCCGATCACGCCACCCTCACGAGAGCCCAAGTAGAGTCCGGATTGGTGGAGACCAAGATCATAGGAGGATCATGAGACTCGGGTGGATGGGCTATAAAAGGCAGGCCAGACGTTCACCCAGCGTCATTCCGCCAAGGCATGGAGCGTCAAGCCACTCAACCTGCCGCTTTGCCCTCAGGACGCAAACGACGCCGAGTAAATAGTAAGAAACCCAAAGGGAATGAGGAAGCTCAAGCGTCAGCCGTAGAAAGGAAAGCCACCCAAACCCCCACCAGTGGACTCGTGATCGCCCTGAACGTCCTGCCCCGAGCAGACCCGCCACCCACACCTTCCCCCACCATCTCACCCGACCAATCGGTGGAAGCCTTGATGGAAGGAACCCTGAAAGACTATGAGGAAGAGTGTCTAGAGGAAGGGACGTTTCAGGCTGATCCTGCCAAGGAAGTAGGGGAATGGGACATCCAGGACCTTGACCAGATGGACACCCAGTTGAACGACCTCCTGTATGAAACGTGCCCCTTTCATCCTTGTGAATACATCTATTGTGTCAACCCCCAGACCCAATTTGGCCAATTGAGGTTCAAGTGCCCCCAAGAAGGATGTCCCGTGTATTTGTTTGAAGACAGTCGAGAGGTGATGATGGAGAAATTGAAAAAAGACACGCACCCTCAAGTCCGTGCCCGATTGCAACGAGGGGAGCTCAAGTGCAAATGTGGGTTGGTCCCTAGGATGAAATTGAGCCGTACTAGCAAGAATTACCAAAAAGTGTTTTTCAGTTGTGGGAGCTTTCTCTCAGGCCAAGACCCCTGTGGCTACTTTCAATGGCTGCATGGCCCGCTGTGGTGCCCCCGAGAGACAGCGCAACCCACGCTGAGACGATGGGTGAGAGACACACCCCCTGAGATCCAAACCAGGGAGTATCTACCTATCCCCCTTTTGAAAGGAAAAGGCCAAGAGATGGAGAAATCCCCACCCTGGGAGATGAACTTTGTGGAGAGGAATAGTTCGTGGTTCAATCAGTTTGGGGAAGCCGCCAAAGCCAAGGAGAGAGACTTTGAGAGAAGGCGCCATTTGCATAAGAACTTTGGTAGCTCGGTGTTGTTTTGAAAAAAAAAAAATCATGTAGGTGTGTGAAAAAACTATTAAAGACAGAGATGGGAGTCGATCGTGTGTCAGTGTCTTGATGTCGTTGCCACGCGCTTACGAAGATCCCCAAGCACCCGGGGCGTTGGGTGGGGTCCGACCTTTTGCCCAAGCCCATAAATTGAAAACCCCGCAAGCGCAACAGATTCTTCAATCGGTGTTGAGTTATACCCTCCACAAACCCCGACGGACACGGTTTCCCACCATACCCACGTTGGTCTTTGACCGAGACGAACAATGGCAGATGGATTTGGTCGACATGCAAAAACTCAGTCGATGGAATCAGGGGTACAAATATTTGTTGACCGTGATCGACGTCCTGTCCAAGTATGCCTTGGCCGTCCCCATCAAATCCAAAAGCACGTCCGAGATGATCCGAGGGTTGACCCGCCTTTACCAGCAAGCCTCGCCGCGACGTCCGCTCCGCGTACAGACGGATCAAGGCAAAGAATTCTACAATCGAGGGGTGCAAGCCTGGTTCAAGAAACAAGGGACGCATCATTTTTCCACGTATGGGGATAGCAAGGCCTCGGTGGTGGAACGATGGCATCGTACGTTGAAACAACGCATGTACCGGTATTTCACCGCCCACAATACGTTACGGTACGTGGATGTGTTACAACCCCTGATTCATACGTACAATCATACGTATCATCGCAGTCTTGGGCTGGCCCCGCATCAAGTCACCCCCCAAACGGTCCCGGACGTGTGGGACAGACTCTACGGGTCGCGTTTGGAGCAAACGACCCCACCCCCCAAATGTCGCGTGGGGGATCGCGTGCGTCTCAACAAGAAACATCGTCCCTTCAAAAAAGGGTATTTGCCCGGGTGGACGGAAGAAGTGTTTGTGGTCACGCACGTCCGTCGTCGTCTCTTGGTCACCTATCGACTCAGCGAATGGGACGGCACGCCTATAAAAGGCACGTTTTACGAACCCGATGTTCAAAAAGTCCAAGTATCGGACGACTCGTTATTTCGGGTGGAAAAAGTGTTGAAACGAAAAGGACGCCAGGTGTTGGTCCGGTGGAAAGGGTGGCCGGCCAAGTACGATAGTTGGATTCCCGCGCAACATGGTCCGCGTCAAAATCACCCCTCGAAAAAGAAAAAAGCGGGTACGGTTTCTCGATGAGGTGCAAGCGGACTCCAGTCGACCGCGAGCCAGTTATACCCCCACGCCCACCAGTGACGCCGACGTGCTGAAATTCATCCAGAAGAAAGCCGCCGAACAACGGCAAACCCAGCCGTGGTGGGAAAAGTTAGCCAGTCCGACCAAACAGCAATGGGCGTACGCCAATGCTTACCATCGAGCCGAAGAGTATGCCAAAAACGAGGCGCGTTGCGGTCCAAGAAAAAACAACAACAACAACGTCGACGTGCGGGTCGTCATCCTCCCATGCGCAAGAAGAAACCCCCCAAAGCCAAGACCTGCATGACCCTGATGGAATTGGCCCGGGCCTTTCCCAACATTGCCCAGCAAGTGTGTTTTCATCCCAAACAATCGACCTTCAATTCCGTGGTAGGACGCGTCCCTCGCAGTAAACAGAAAGTGGCCCAATGGCTATAAAAAGGGACCCTGCCCCGTTGGGAGGAGACCACTCCTCCTCAGGATGAGCGAGATTAAACGCCTTACCCTCGTCAGCGATCCCACCGACGAGTTTCCCAACAATGCCAACAACAGTTTCAAGGTGCGATTGCCCGAACGGCTGGTGTTACCGGGCGCGGGGTGGCATGCCTCGTTGATGTCCCTGACCGTACCGGATCAAGGCCAGAGCAATGCCATCATTGCCGCGGATCCTCATACCAAAGTGGTTCGATTCAAGTACCCACAAATCATCCGCAAATGGACAGACACAGGCAACCCATCCACCTCAGGGTATCTGCGTGTAGAGGCCCCTTTGCTCAATGGCCAAATCGAATTGGAAGATGTCATGAATGCCAATCAAATCGTAGCCACAGGGACTGATTTTTGGAAACGCGTGAGTCAAGAAGTGCATAACTATACCATGAAAACACTAGTGGCACAACAAAATAATCTGATGGTCAATGATCGCGATTCAAAACCGATCGTGAGCATCAAAAAACACGCGATGCCCCGACTGACGTGGAAAGAGGATGCCCTGGTGATTCATGGGGTGGACAAAAAGGATTTGATTAACATAGGCCAAATCAACGTCGTGGAATTTTACATCAACTTGGACATTGCCCTGAAGTTTGGCTTATTGACCAGAAAGACAGGCAAAACAGCCAATGTCACAGGTTCCTTTGACCTGGGTCCCAATTTGCAATTCACGGCACCTTCAGGCACCTATAATGCGACCACCAGTCCAGTCGGCAGTGATCAACGGCGGTTTTACAATTGGGAAGGCGAGCAGTACATGGGCGTGAATTACACCAGCCGAGCCTTTACGATCACGACACTTGATAATGTGGTATGGATGAGATTGCACATGGCCTTCGAATGGCAGATCAACAACCTGAATGCCTCGTTTGAAAAGATTGTGGGGACCCGTAAACGCACCGTCATGGTCTATGCCGATCTGGTGGAATCCACCGTGGTGGGCAGTGGCAACTTTCCCCTGTTACGGGAAGTGCAATTGTTGAGAACCGGCGATGGGGAAAGTACGGCGGAACCCCTACACCATCAATGGATCAAAGTGCGAGGACAACAATTGGATATTTTGGAAGTGGAGATTGCCAGCACCAGTGGACCCCTGGCCATCTTACCCCCGGGGAAAACCCTGGTGACCATCGGTCTCAAACAGTTATAAAAAGCCAATCTCATGTCTCGAGGGTCCCAAAAGCACCTCGACGTGAACCGACCATGCGCGGAGGTAGTTTAACGCGGTACCACACGCCCGTGGTCACCTCACAAGAGGGCCAGGGTTTGGCCGAAGACTTGATCAAAGTGGCAGGACCCCTGATCGTGCAGCAAGCCCAAGCGGGACTGCAAGATATTCAACGAGGCAAGAGTGCCGCGGACACGTGGGCGGATCGACGTGGGCAACTGAGCCGCGGGTTGAAACGCAAAGCTCCCGCCATGGTGTGGGCGGGCGGCAAACACAACGCCAAAAAAACCTATAAAAGAGCTACCCAACGTGTACGGGACATCTTTGGACGTTGAAAATGGTACGCGTGGGTGGTTTTCTCAAAACGCAAAATCGCATTCGACGGCAACGCGCCCGTGGACGGTTCATCTCGCCGTATCAAGTCGGGGGGACCATCTTTGGCAAGTCCACGATGGCGCGCTATTCCTTGATGTATACCTCCTCCCGCCTGTCGGACCCCCTCTACATGGAGAAGAGGATGACTCGACAAGTTCGCCAGATGAAAGGGGGGGGATCTCAGAAAGGTGTTATGGGCCAACCAACGAAAGGCGAGGAGGCAACGGATGAAAGGAGGCAACGTCTTCAGCCGGTTGAAAAAACGCATCCAAATCGATTTTCCTCATCGCCCTTTTCCCTCCGCACATCCCATTCATGATTGGCACAGACTGCGAAAGGGTATAAAAAGGGGACGACGTTAAACCCCAGGGACAGACCGCATCATGTCGCTCCAACTGTTTGACGTGCCCGATGTGGATTATCGGTACGAAGCCTCTCGGGAGGTGGAATTTCAACCCGCCCTGACAGGTATCCAGCCCATCACGTTCTCCATTCCGGGCTCCGACGATTATTACGACACCAATTCCCTCCGATTCAAAGTCAAAGTCCGTCTGACCAATCCAGCCACTGGGTATACAGGCTTGGATGAAGGGCTGCTCATCTCCAAATGCCAACGAATCGAGACATGTGTACTGCGTCAACAATTTTGGACACTCCATCTTTCGAGATATCACCCTGAGTATGAATGGGGTCCTCATGACGGAACAGAGCAACACCTACCATTACAGAGCCTACCTAGAAACCCTCCTGAACTACAACCGAGAAGAAGGCGCCACCAAGTTAGCCCCCCAAGGATGGGTCAATCAGCTCAATGTGGTGAATGTCATGGGAGCGACCGCCGTCAATTCCGATGTCCCCACCAATGCGAATTGGAGTGGTAATGCAGAATTGAGAGCCTTGACCAGCCGGTTGCTAGACCAGCATTGGCACACCTTCATCATTCGCCCCCATTTGCCACCCCTCAGAACAGGCAAATTGTTGGTCCCCAATGTCCAGATGGACTTTGAACTCTTCCTCAACCCCAACACCATCTACTTGATAGGTACCCCGAACAAAGGCACCTTGATCGACAAAAAAATTCCAGCCATTCACCCAGAAGACATCAAAGTCACCTTGCTGATGAGAAAAGTGACCTTGAATGCCAGCGTCTATGTCAGACTGCAGAAAGAAAGACAGCTGGGCAAACAAATTGCCCGCTACCCCGTGGTGCGGAGCGAAATCCGCACCTTTTCCTTTGATGGACGAACCACCCAGTGGGAACAAGACAATGTGTTTGTGGGTCGATTTCCTGACCGAGTGATGGTCGGGTTATTGCATTCGGATGCCTTCAATGGAAACCTACAACGCTACCCCTTTGCCTTTGAAAAGTTTGGTGTCACCCAGATACGTCAGACCTTGAATGGAGAAGAATACCCTTACAGAACCCTGCAATTGACTGGAGATCAAGCCTATGAAGATCTACTGGGGTACGATCGATTTCTACAAGCCATGGGTGCCTACAATGAAGACAAGATTCCCCTACTGCTGCCTGGGGATTGGGGACAAGGCAAGAACTGCACGTTGTTCTTGTTCAACAATGTGCCTAGTGAAAAAGCCGATGATCCTCAGTATCACAACCCCCGTCAATCGGGCAATGTGCGACTGATCATTGATTTTGCAGCTGCTGTGGGTCACAACATCACCGTGTTGGTCTGGAGCGAGTATGAAAACATGTATGAGATCAATCATATGGGAGGTATAAAGTACAACATCAACGCTTGAGGTGATTCAGAAGACGGGAGAGAGCGAGCATGGAGTTTGTGGCGCTCAGTGATACGGTGCTGCGGACCCTGGCCCTAGAAGATCCCACCTTGCGACGCGTGTTTCACGGGGTGTACCCCGCCGACCAGTTACCCCGTTCACCCCCCAAGAGTGTCCGTCAAGCCTACATTGTCAACACGGATCCGGCGGGAGAACCGGGACAACATTGGTTGGGGATGTGGACGGAACAGAACAAGTGCGAGATCTTTGACAGTTATGGGCTGCCTCTGCACGTGTACACCCACCCCGACCTGCACCAATGGTGGGGTCAATGGAAACACCTGATTCGCAGTGACCAGACGTTGCAAGCCTTGGATAGTCAGACCTGTGGCCATTATGCGTTATTTTTCTTAAAAGCCCGAGCCCAAGGACGGTCGTATCAAGACTTTTTGGGGCAGTGGAGTTGCGATAACTTAGTGTTGAACGATCAGAAAGTGGCCGAGCAGTTGAAACGCGTGATTAAACAGGAAGTACAAGATGAAGTCGATGCCCGCCCGGAGGGAGGGCAAAAGAATGTGAGCCGACAGGCCTTTATGCTTTGTAATCCTTGTAAGTGTTGAAATACAAAAAAAAACACCATAAAACGAGACGTGCTGTGATCGAGGGGTCATTTGAAATCTCATCATGATTACGCGAGGGGATGCCCAGCGTGTGATCGAAGCCTTCATGTTAGAAGAAACCTTGTATTGGTGGTCCCACCCCATTGAACGGGTGAACACCGTCCAAGGGGTGGATGCGTGGGATGGGTACCATTGGTTGATGGCCCGCCAACTGGCGCAAGACCAGGACTGGGTCGCTCTCAAACAGTACATGGACACCATGAAAGAAACGCATTTAAGGGAGACCATGGAACACCTGATTCAATGCGAGTCGCCACGCCTCTACCGCGAGTATTGGACGGCATGCCCAGCCACAGACGACGACGACAGCAGCGCGCTTCCTCCCGACGACCCCGCTTTCGTCAAAACGGACGGGGGATCATGAGCGTGTTGGCCAAAGCGTATAAAATCGGCAACCCATTGGGACGTAGCAAACGGTATAAACGCATGGGCGCCAAAGGGGCCACGGGTCATTACCGTCGTCTGCCTCGACCGTGGGAAGGATGATTCGACACCCCAGTAGTGTGATTATCGCTGGCCCGTCGGGCAGTGGCAAGAGCGAGTTAGTGGAACAGTGGTTACGGGACCTCAACGTGTTTCAAGTCAAACCCCACAAGATCGTCTATGCGTACGACCGATGGCAACCCCGGTTCGACCGTATGCAAAAAAAGGAGGGGATTCAATTTCATCGCGGGTTACCGGACCCCCGTCATTTGACCCAATGGTTTGGTCGGACGCGTGGCGGAGTGCTGGTGTTGGATGATCTGATGGAAGAAGGGGGACAGGATAAACGCGTGTTGGATTTGTTCACCAAAGATTCCCATCATCGGAACATCACCGTGTTGTATTTGACGCAAGATTTATTCCCACCGGGCAAATTTGCCAAGACCATCAATCGCAACGCGCATTACATTGTGGCCTTCAAGAATCCCCGGGATCAAACGGGCATACGCACCATTTTACTGCAAGCCTTTCCCGACCGATGGCGTCAAGTCTTGCGCCTATTTAAACGCATCACGTCCCGTCCCTTTGGTTATTTGATGTTGGATGTGCATCCCGCCTCGGATGATCGGTACCGATTGTGGAGTCATTTAACGCGCCGAGAAGGCGAGGCGCAAGTCCATACCTTGCCCGTGGATGTCCCTGCCGTTCGACAACGAACTGCAACGAGAACTCGCCAGGGTCCGCCGGCGAAGAGAAGGCGGACAACATACTGACTTAGCGACCCGCATGGACACCCCGACCCTCTCGCCCGCCGGGGTGGGTTCGCCCACCGCCCCTCCCCTAGATCTCAGTAGCATGAAGGACATGGTCACGGAATTGACCCAACCCGTGGATCGAGCCCAATTGGATCAAGAGATTGAGGATTTTAATTGGACGTTTCCGATCAATGTGGACGATGCCTTGAATGCCTTTACGTTACCCCCTGTGGCAGGCACAGGCACGGCCCCCGCCACGACGGCGACCCAAACCCGTCCCACCACATCCACCCGTACCCGCCCCACGGCCACCACCACCACCACTGCCTCCAGACGACCCAGACCACGTCCTGTCACCACCGCCACCACCACCACAGCCCCTTCACGCCCCTCCACCGCCCGTCGCAGTGCTGGAGCCGGGACCAGGACCACCACCTCCACGGTGACGACCCCGACTGGACGTCCCACCGTGGCCGCCAAACAACCGCGACGACGTCCTCGCGTACCCTCTCCACCGTCCCCGGATTCCTCCCCTCCGTCGGAGGATGAGGATGAGGATGATGATGACGACGATCGACGGCGAGGCTTAAGGCGACGGTTGGATTTGCTGAATGAAGATGCCCAAGAACGGGCGCGAGGGAGGCGCATTCGCAATATTACGCATACCAATACGGTGACCACCGTGTATGAAGAGGGAGGGCGACCGTCCGTGCGCCGCACCTCGAGGCGAACCTCCGGTCCACCCCCACCACGCCGAGGTCGTGGCCGTGGCCGAGCCCGTGGACGGGGTCGACGCCCGTGAAGGTGAAAAGAAGAAAGATATAAGACCAGGATCCTTCCTTCGACTGTCCCAAAACCATGTGTGGCCGATGTCGAAGCGGAATGGCCCCTAGACGCAAACGCAAACGCACCACGACTCAGCGTCGCCGACCTGCCAAACGACGAAGGGGTCAAGTGGGGGGTGTCGGGCCTGGCCTGCCTCTCGGGATTCTCAAAGCTGGTTATGGGATCACCAAAGCCATTGGGGATCATCAACAAAAGCGAGCCAAAGCCATTATTGACAAACGCACACGAGAGTGGGAATCCGGCAAACGGAAACGCTATGCGGGGGAATCGTTTGTTTGTTCCATCATGTGAAAAAAGTATAAAAGACAAGAGGCGTGTCTTTCGTTGGACAGATAAGGGATTATCATGCATTGTGGTCAACGACGAGGAAAACGACACCGAAAGCAACGAGGGGGTATTCTCCCCCTCCTCCTCCCCGCTGTCGCTGCAGCCATAATCATGAAGCGCAAGAAAAAAAAAAAGTGGGCAAGATTAGTGCAAAGCAAATGGCGGCTAATCAACGACGGGTTCAGCGGATGTTAGGTCGAACGGGTTGGGGCGGGTTTGAAATGCTGAGAAGGCTATAAAAGAAACGCCTGGTGGGGAACAAGACTCCAATTGAGGATGGTCCGTGGACCCAATGGACGCCGACACCGTTATGTCCCCCGAAAGCGACGCCGTCGACGTGGTCTGCAACGCGGCGCTAAGTTACCGCTGTTGGCAATGGCTCTCTCGCCTTTGTGGCTCAGGAAATACAAGCCCAGGGTCCGTCTTCGTCGACCGGACTAGACCCCCCCGTCTGGCCATGACGTTGACGTTAGAGTGGACGGAGGAGATCGAGGCCGCGTTGTGTCAGCAATGTCGACGTCATATGCAACGGCATTATCATGGGGAACTGTGTCGTTCATGTGGGGCCCAATTTACCATAAATAGAGCGGGGTCGTGGCAATTCCTGAACCTTCAGCATGGCGTGGCGCATGGAACGTCAAGCCCCGTTCTTGAAAAGTGTC